AAAAGAGCTGTATCTGGTGCCTTTAGCCGATTACAATTAGTTGAATCTATGAAATATTGCTACGTCGATGCATTTGATGATTTGTATATATATATATATATATATATATATATATATATATATATATATATATATATATAAAGCCAATCTTTTTAAAGGCTTACAGTATTCGATTAAAAATATCGAAATGGGCGCTCCTGATTATAAGCCGAAGGCTTACTTCCCATTTCTCGCATTAGTAATTTATTTCTTGCAACTTAAAACAAATTAAGACTTTAACAACACTGTATTAAACTACCTTAACATACATATCAAGGTCTACAGTTCAAATAAATTTCTTGCTAATTATTAAACATACGCATTCTATTTTCGAATTATATTTCATTATAAAAGCATAACTTTTAAAGTAGGGACAGGTGTTAATTTAATTATAAATTATATTTTTAAAAAAAATTCTCTTTCTTTGTCCCTGTGAATTTCAAGTTATTGATTGTCTGGTGATGTTATCTGGGGGGTTTGATGAGAGTCTGCCCTATCCACATCCATCTTTTCCTTATGATGTCTTCAGTAATAGGCTCCTGGTATGTTCCATCTAGTAAGCCTCTTTTTGGTGATTTTGTGTTTGCCTTTTGATCTTCTGGATTTCTAAGGCACGTGTTTATGAAGCTCTGTACTTTGTGCGTGATGTTCGCTTTTCTCCAGGTTTCTACTCCATACAGTAGGCCAGTTTTGACATTTGTGTTGAAAATTCTGACTCTGATTTGAAGAGTCAGCTCTTTTTACTCCCCTATTTTCTGTGATAGCTGACTTAGCCTTTCCAATTCTAGTCCTTACTTTCGCTACGGATCCACCCTTTATGTCGATGGTGCTGCCTAAGTTTATGAAGGACTCCACTTCTTCCAGCGCATTTCCTAACAGAGAGATATACCTTTTTCTTTGGTTGCGTTTACCATTTTATCTTTGTCTCGCTTTTTACAAAAATATTTATAGAAATTAAAGAAAGATTCATCATCTTCCTCGATTTCTGCCCTTGACCCCGATGAAAATGTTCGATCATTATGGTGACGCCAGATCCACTACTTAGAGGCATAGCTACGTTTAGTGCAACAATGGGGGTCCAATATTTTTGCTTCTCTTTCTTTCACAAAATAAACTCTGTCAAAAAATCCCGCACCTCTATATAAAGAAACACATGGGACCAGGATGAACTACCCCCTCACCCTCCCCTTTTCTACGCCACTGGAAGGGGCGTAGCTAGTTTGGCGTCAGGGGACATGATTCATGTTTACGGCCCCCCCCCCAACTCTGAAACTAGCTAATTATTTTCAAACATCAAACACAACTAACGCACATTTTGGTGACCCCCCTAATTTGGCGTCCGGGGACGCTTGCCCCCTCTGCCACCCTTAAGCTACGTCTCTGTCCACTGCCAAGTTGCAACTGGCACTGCATCCGCCCTCCCCCCCCACCCCCCCCCAGAAAATCTAAAATTTCCCCCTCGCGGAAAAATGTCTGAAAGAAACAATGATGCTAACGAAATGACTTGACGAATAGTCTAATGAAATGACTTAACGACCAGTCTAATGAAATGACTTAACGACCAGTCTAATGAAATGACTTAACGACCAGTCTAATGAAATGACTTACAGATAAATTCTAATAATGGACTTACCGACCAATCCTAATGAAATGATTTTTCTCACCTATCTCAGACGGGATTAGAATTAATATCTTGAAACGAATGATATTATGCTGGGATAGAGGTTCTTTTTTTCTGGCATCTGTCCGTCAAAATGTTGTAGACTTCGCTGGGCAGATTGACTAGGCCTGGGATTTTATGTTAAGGACTATAATCCAAGGGAATATCATATGTGTATGATAAAGCTTGGCACCAGTCGTACCGGAGGAGTTATTGGAATTGTTGCTCGTATCGTTGTTATCCGCCTTCGGGACTCCATAATCGCCGTGTCAATGTAATACCACCTCTGGGGCTCCATCATCGCCGTGTCAATGTAATACCACCTCTGGGACTCCATCATCGCCGTGTCAATGTAATACCACCTCTGGGGCTCCATCATCGCTGTGCCAATGTAATACCACCTCTGGGACTCCATGTTCGGGTTTTAATCCGGAGCTTTGCCATCTCTTTCATGATCAGCCATTTAAGGTTAACGGGTCCCATGCGCCCGAGGTGCTGGTGATGTTGTGTGTGTGCTTGGCTGCTGGGTATGTGGTTGCAATTGAACTCCAGGCCACAAGAATGGGATCGACTCAGTTTTTAACTCGACAGAGTTGTGGTTATGTAAGAATGAAATCATTCTAATGCAACGACAAATTCCGTTGACATAAAATTGATAAAATATTGCTAACAAATCAGCAATTTCGTCTGTGATGTCTTTGAATCCATCGCCAAAAGAAAATGTAAGAATTATGTCTTTACAAATAAATCGTCACGTGATTGTCAAAGAGCTTGCCTGTTAATAACAAGAATGATCAGACGGAATCAGCTAATGTTTTGGACATTTGTTCGTTCTCTGAGCGGCTGGCAGGAAAGTCAATCCACCTGGAAGTGTGAAGACATTTAATTTATCGAATTAGGGAAAATGTTTAATAAGGAGAGCATTGGGCTATTTAGAAACATTATGTTTACGATGAATGACATGTTGGTTAATGACATGTTGGTTAATGACATGTTGGTTAGTAACATGTTGGTTAATAACATTTTGGTTAATGACATGTTGGTTAATAACATTTTGGTTAGTGACATGTTGGTTAATGACATGTTGGTTAATGACATGTTGGTTAATGACATGTTGGTTAATGACATGCTGGTTAATGACATGTTGTTTAATCACTTGTTGGTTAGTGACATGTTGGTTAATAACAATTTGGTTAATGAAATGTTGGCTATGACATGTTGGTTAAGTACACGTTTGTTAAACATATATTTTCTCTTATTTTATTATTATCTACTGTTGTGACCTGTCATGAATGACGCCATGAATCACGATATTATATTGTCAAATTTCTTGTGAGTGAAGAACTGCTCAATCACACGACATACGTAGATAACCGTCTCTCTCTTTACCTGTAGTCTTGCTAATTACAACTTTCATCAACAAAGCGCACCTATGAGCAGTCGAATCATTTAATTTTAATGAGAAACAGATGACTTAGGACTTTGCTATGCTACACATCTTATCCTCTGTATTCGCAGCGCTGTGTCCACATTAAAAGAAACTCACTAATGACTGGTAGAATGGAGACTTCTGTCGATCAAATTTTCTTCAAACCAAGTTCCGTATACGGATTACATAGGATTGATATCATTTTAATGCAACGACAAATTCCGTTGACATAAAATTGACAAAATGTTTCTAACAAATAAGCAATTTTGCCTGTGATGTCTTTGAGTCCAGCACCAAAAGAAAATGGAAGAATTCTGTCTTAAATAGAAATTACCGGAAGATGAGTTCTTAGCCAATTGTATTTGACTTTTCAACATTACAATATTATATTATGTGATGCAAGCAACCAGACTTAATACTCAAACTGGAAATTCTACAGCTCATTGGCATTTAGTGGCGTAGGAAGAGGGATAACATTTGCGTGGTCTTCCACAGACAGTTTTTATTGAAAGGTGGGGGGGGGGGGGTTGGGGATTTTCAGACCAACTGCAGGGGTTTTCAGGGGGGGGGGGGCAAAAAACTTCTCCTGCCCGGGGCGGGAAAAAACACTATCTACGTAACTGTTGGCATAGTCCATTTAATTCTACTATGAGTCACTCAATGCAAGTAGCTTTAGAAAATGTGATGTTGCCTATGGCCTCCGTTACTTCTGTTTGAAAGTTAGATGAAAGGAATGCCTCGTGCTTGAGTTTTACTTCTAATCTCTGATGCACGTCCTGGCCATTCATTTGATTTCGACAATCAAAACTGTATGATGGTATTATAATTAATGTCTTTAAAATATTTCATTTTAATTAAAAAGAGCGTTGCTTATAAAAAATTCCTTAGCAACCCCTTTGGAAGTCCCAGAGCACCCTTAAAATCTCTCATGACTTTCATCGTCCCCTGGAACATCCCACAGCCCAAATAGAACGTCCGACAATGTTAAAAATAGTTATTACAAAACTTAGCTGCGTGAAGCAGCCTAACGGAACCAAAAGAAATGTTGGCTTTAATTGTTGAGAACGGACAAAAATGTAATATTTCAGAATGACGAAAATAGCCAAACTGACATTTCTGGGTCTCAAACTTTTTCTGATGGTTTTATTTGGTAAATTATGTTTTGGAAGGCCTTTTTTGTTTGGTGCTGTAAAGTTGGTCTCACTGCAACCACGTCCACGATCTTACGAGTCAGAAAACGCTATACAATCTCTGTGGAAGTTTACCTATAAATATTCATAAAGCTCAGTCAAATAGATCATGGGTTGTTTGTAGTCGCAAGTCCTTACATTAAAAGCTATTTAATATTTAAATGTCGAATCATATTTTAATGTCATACGTTTTGTAATAGGTATCTCGGAGATCTCCTGAACATTCCGTTTACACCTCCACCAAAACTTGACTTTATGCCAAATATACATTCACAAACATGTTTAGTCAAACAATTTTCCTTGATAAATAGCATGATCATCTCAAATATTCCTTGCAAACAATTTCTTTTCTGATATTTAAATATTTTAGATATGGACACGAACAAAATCCAAATTGCAAAACGTAAAAAAGAACACAAATAATATTATTGGAACTTCAACTAGTCTATTTTTACTTTTTTAGAAGTACTTTCGTTGTTGGATTTTGTTTATATTTTGATTTTTACAGATTTTTCTAATTCGTTTTTATGTTGATTTGGTATCACCGAAAAAGTCACACTGACAAACATCATTCTGCTGAAAACAATAATTGAATTGAACATGTTTTTTTTTTCTTTTTCGATTAATTTAAGTACATGACGGATTTTTGAGGCTATAATACTGTCAATATTTTTATAATTAAATGCACTTCACAGCAACGGACAATTCTTTAACATCCTATAAAGTTGTTGGGGTCATTGGTACTGACGATAGCGTAACATCTGGCCCTGTAGCACAAATCTTGAGTGTTTCTAACATGCCTTTGATAAGCTTTTGGGCATCCAATGACGCACTTAGTAATAAGGTATGATTCTAGTCATTTTTTAAAATATATATTATATTTGAAAAAATAGCTTTATGAGAATGACACTTTGTATATTAAAAAAATATTTTATCTTAAAGCATAGAAAGATTAAAATAATTTTACATCAAACTTTCCCTTTAAATGAAAAAAAAATCTTCAGCCAGAATTTTTTTTCTGAATGGTGTGTGGAAAATTACTGAGCGGGAGAGAAATAGATATTAGTAAGAGAAATAGTAAGTTTTAACATTTTAATTTTTCTAACTGGATTTTTAGAGCTCTGTTTTCTTTCAAAAGGCTTAGAATGTTAAAAATGGAAGATCACTCAAACTCATGAAGCCAAATAATAAACCAAGCATATTCTTCTGTCACAGGCTTAGCTTGGGGTGCAATTAGCGATTTGCCCGATAGGGTTGCGGCAAAATTTAGCGTTCTAGGAATCAAGTTGATCGGATCACCTTAACATCATGATTTCCTAGTATTTAATCTAGATTTAAACATTGTTAATATAATAAAATAAATTTAAACAAATCTAATCTACAATGACAATCTTTACACAATTTAGCTCATCTACCCAAACTTTTGGAGAGTTTTGGCACCAGACACGTACCTGCTGTTAGCTCTGACAGACTTCTTGACACTTCACAACTTCAACTATGTCTCAGTCATGTTCTCCGGCACACGTCGATCAATATCCATGTACTGGACATTAAAGAGACAACTATCTCTTATGAAAATATGCGTTTCGAGAAAGTTGATGATTAATGAGGGGACGAACATTACCGATTTATTGTCTGAGATGCTCAACGATGAACTGGCCTCAAGGATTATCGTTGTCGTTGGAGACCATATGCTAACAAATGCAATCATGTCGAGCGTTAGTGGATCAGTGTTTGAAGGCAAGTTCCTGTGGATAGGAAATGACTTCTGGGGAATATTTATTCACGAAAACCGAGCACCGCAAGGTTCAATTGCCTTACATTACAACAGTGTTCCACTTCCGGACTTTAGCAGTTATCTTCGGGGACTAGACATCCACAATAAAAACCCATGGTTCCTCAAAGCTTTAACAGATATCGATGGCTGCAGTAACATTGACTGCATTAATAGACGAATAGAAACAACAATTCAAAACCCCAACGAGGTTTTAGCTTTAATGCACGATTGTCCGTTTGTGATCGCTCATGCACTGGACAGATTTTTAAGATCAAAATGCCCTGGATTACGGGAAAAACTCGTTTCAAATTGTTTTTACGCCAACTTCAACAGCTTTTCACAATTTATCTCAGAAGTTAAATTTGAAAGAAATTCACAGATGTTCGAGTTTAGCAAACAACACCACGGCTTTGAGGTATTCTCCATGATCCAGTCAGCTTTTGACATAAGTGCTGTACCTTTAGAAATATCCCAATACAGTATTAGAAGGAGGACAACAATGATCATCAACAGGATCTCAACCTCACAGTTATTGATTCCGTACTCAATGCTGGAACCCCAAAATTATTGCATGATCCCATGTTCTGCGGGCGAGTATCGATTCTATATTTCACGGTGCTGTTGGAAGTGTAGAGAATGTCAAGATAACCAGAGGGTCAGTGAAGATTTTAAAACCTGCGAACGATGTCCTTCATTGCACTGGCCGAAAATCTCCAAAGGTAAAAGGAATAAATGCGAGAAGATAACACCAGACCATTTTGATTTGTTTTCTCTAAAGTCCGCCATAATGATTGTAGTCGCCTGTTTGGGGATCATCAGCGTCGTTTATATCCTCAGTGAATATCTCAAAAACAAATCACACCCAGTGATCAAAGCCTCGAGCCTAGAACTGAGCGTCATTCAGCTTGTATTCATTTTGCTGGGCTATTTTTCTGTGCCTGTTATTGTAGACCGACCGACGGCTCTGAGATGTACGATTGGTACCCTGCTCTTCACCACCAGCTTCAATATCTCTTATTTCACGATGCTGATAAAAGCCGTCAGAGTGTACCGTATTTTCACGTTATCCAAAAAGGGAAAGACAGTTACCTGCACGAGTCCAGCCTTTCAGGTGTCAGTTTGTGCAGCTTTTCTTTGCTGTGAGGTGAGGTCCTTTAATTGATTTTAAGCGAATCTGATAACTCCAATTCAATTCATTAAATATCTAAAGAGATCAATAAAGAAAATAAATCAATTAAAAAATAAATAGAAATTGAAATAATCCAAAGTAGAAAGAAAAAAAAAACCCTGAAAATAGTCAAATCTTAAAAAACTTGCAAACTGAATTTTAAATCCCTAAATTGTTGTGCCATTATCTATTTTTGACAAGTCTTCAAATATCGTTGCGATTCTCGATCTATTTTAAAAAATCAGATTAGGCCATCCTGATTATCAACGTCCTTATCAACCCCGCCCTGCTGTACACACATTCTGTATTACTGCGCGAGCTGAGCGACTATTTAAATTCTTTTATAGTTTAATGAAAATTCTATCATAAAATATTACTGATGCAGTCCAACGGGGATTATCGTAAAACAATTAAACTTATCTTCCATATTAGAAACTAAAAAAATATGACTCAGTGTTGCCACTGACAATGGAAGGCGGGCTACATTCTACTGAGAAGCTTTAAAATCTAATACATTTTAATTATGTTACTGCATTGAGTTTTGAGATATTGTATCCTAAATATATCTCTCTATTTTTAAATCCACGCCCTTTACTAAATTTATATTTAGTAAATCAGACTGTCCCTTTTTAAAAAAAAAAAAAAAAGAAGTATCCAATGTATAGATATTTACATTTGTATTGTCCTAACATTCGTTTTTTAAGAAATGTTTCTCCTTTACTCCCTTTTACTTTAGGAATGTATCAAATGTATAGTGCAGCTAATTTTTAAAAAAACAACAAAGAAATAAAATATATACCAAACAATATCATTTTTATTTATATTTTTACAAAATATAAAATTAATGAAATCCTATATTCAAGATACAAAAGGGTTATTTAGAGAAAAACCTTTTAATTATCATTTCATATCCGAAGTTGACTGTCGTCTATTAATATGGCTGCTTTTTCAAACATTCACCGACAGTCACCATGGTCACCGTGGCCCGTAATAATTATTACCCCCCCCCCCCCGTGCGTAACGCTTTGGCTCCACTGCAACCGTGTTTCGCCGGCATCCAACACGGACGTGCGAGACCGGTCGTTCGAAAGGAAAATTCGTCTGATATTGGGGTTACCTTGCCACCGATCACATTCGAATTTTCATTGTGTATCAAAAATGGCCTTGACCTTTCATGGCGAGCAGTGTCATGTTTTTTAATCAAACTGATTTATTGTTAAAAAATAAGCACATTAACTTTGTAAAGTAATTTTTTCTCCTACAAATTACAATAATTTGGATTTGTCCCCCCTCCCCCTTCCCTGAAAAAAATGAAATGACGCCCCTTGTGGGCATAGTTTATAGTAGCTGATTTATCTTTTTCATCTTGCGGCACTGATCCTCATCTAACCATTCAGCACTTAAAATAGAAGCAATAATTGGTGTGATCAAAAATTGCTATAAGCTCTCTCTATCTTCTTGCATCTACTCACATTGGTCCTTTTTGATTCCTTTTTTTGTTGTCGTTGAAGAGCAGTGGCTAATTTCTTATGCTCAAGAGTGCATTATCGGTGCTGTTTAACATCCCTTTTCAACATGACTTTAAAAAAAAACACATCATATCTGAGGGCCCACGATCATTTTGGCTCCTGGTTTGAATTCAGAGTTAGTCTTCTCTTTAATGAGTTGCCTTCCAAGGCTAACGAGTCCCGTCCACCAGGGGATTGAACTCCAGATCACCACTATTTGCAATGAGTCAGTTTAGACCACTCGGCCAACCAGCACCCTCATGATGCAAAATAGATGTTCCTTATTTGGCAAATCCTTTCAAGCAGCGATGCTGTTATTTTTACTCACTTTACATTCACCTAATTCTCAAAATATCGTATTCCTACTCGATCAATATCATTTATCTTGACTGAACATGAAACCGGAACATTGTCCTTGTTCCATACCTGCAACAGAATCTACAGTCGAAGAGAGGCCAACTTATTATAATAGCCTTCAGTCTGCTACAGTCCCACGTCTCTTCCAGACAGCGGTCGTTAAGCCTCTGTTTAAAAAAAAAAGGGGCCTGGACCCAAATGACTGCAATAATTTTCGCGCGGTCTCCAACCTGCCTGTTCAATATTTGTGTTTATGTTTTAAAACAAAGGTCCCCAAATGTTAAGAGTTTTTATTGATCTAGGTCCCCTGTTTTACGCTACTTAGATTAGTAATGCCACTACGGCTACGTCTAGGGTATGATTAATTTCCTAATGAAGTGTTCTACACTAATCTCTCTGCACACGCACTCTAACATTCAATGACACTCACACACACGTTCAATGACACTCACACACACGTTCAATGACACTCACTATAGCTCCCACTTCTATTAATACTATAGCTATACTAATAAAACAAAAGGGGTTAAGCCCACAAATAAATATTTAATTATGAAAAAAAAATGTATCTACATACACATTACATATACTATACACATACTAACATTACATATACTATACACATATACAGGACAACGAGATCTACTACTCAATATTATTAAATACTATGTTCCTACTGGCGATCTTGTCCACTAGGGTCCAAAACCTACACACGCAGCAGCATTATTGGTTTGGCCTCTCTCTCTCTCTCTCTCTCTCTCTGTGGTCACTGTGCACTGCGGACGCCTCCGTGGCGTAACTAGTCTCCGGTTACTCGCTCTGCGATTTGGTAGGTTTAGACTCTAACACTTTACCGGTGGGTACACACACACACAGAGCACTCTAGCTATTCACTGGTCACCGCGCCGTCTCTGCTTATCTAATAGGCCTAATGACTCAACTGTACTGAGTGGTATATACTCTGTGGTATACTTTACCGACTGTACTAAGTTCTACTGTACTGAACTGTACTCAACTCAACTGTACTGGCTTTGACTGAGCTCACTATACTGAGACTTAAGTCAACTGTACTAGTTTTACTAACGCAAGCTAACGGTACCACTCTAACTAACTGTTCCTAACTTCACTGTTACTTACTGGCTAGAAATGAGAATAAAGAACACAACGCATAAGACATAGGTAAACAATTAAAATCACATCACATTATTAATAATCAATCATTCACTTTAGTAACTCTAGTCCTAATATTTTCTAAATAAAACTACAACTACAATTCTACATACCTGCACACATGAATATGAAATTAACAATACTAACCCAGCACATTATAGATAAACAAACTTCATCAACTAATTGTGCCAGCCAGGCTCTACGGACAGTTTCAGGTGAAAGATGGCCATAAATGATTGATTAGGTGGTGCCCTTTATACTCAGTACAGGGACACGTGCCCAGAATTATATAGCGTCAGCGTGGGCACTCAGCGTAGGTACTCAGCGTGGGTACTCAGCGTGGGTACTCAGCGTGGGTACTCAGCGTGGGTACTCAGCGTAGGTACTCAGCGTGGGTACTCAGCGTGGGTACTCAGCGTAGGTACTCAGCGTGGGTACTCAGCGTGGGTACTCAGCGTAGGTACGCTTGACCATAATGAGTGCATTGTTTAAGCTGGGTCACGGTCAAGGTGACCAGGTTAATTTCCGTTGTTCAATGAGTCATTGTTATCAGTGTAGGGTCCAGTCTAATTATGTAATATCGCGAGGGGTAGCGATGGAGCGAGTGTGAGTCAGTGGGTCTCACAAAGGTGAGGACCAGTGGGTCTCAACACAATTCCCTTTGTATCTAAGATTCTTGAGAGAGTTGGGCAACAGCATCTTGTGCTGCATCTAAACACTTATGACTTGCTTGATAAGTTTCAATCTGCATATTGACCTGGACAAAGCTGTGAGACAGCACTGCTCCGTGTCATGAATGATGTTTTTGGTAGTGCTGATCGTGGCGATCGGACACTATTGGTCCTGTTGGATCTCAGTGCTGCTTTTAATGTGATTGACCTTGTGCTTCTTCTGTCAAGACACCTGAATGAGGCAGGCATCTCTGAAACTGCACTTCGATGGCTTTCTTCTTATGTGGCTGACAGGACTCAGCGTATTGTAGTGGAGCAAACATCTTCCATGAACACTTCCGTTACCTGCCACAGGGCTCAGTTTTAGGGCCTATTCTGTTCTCCGTATACACTAGCCAGCTCGGGAAAATTATTGAAAGTCGTGGTATTTCACGCAAAATATTTGCAGATGACAAAGAACTATACAAGTGTTTCTGCCCTGATCCCTTGAAACGAGCTTCTGCTATTCCGGCTTTCGAGAACTGCTGTCTTGGATGAATGGATGTCATCAAACAGACTAAAATTAAATGATGATAAGACTGAGGCAATTATTTGTGGTTCAGACGCTAATCTTCGGAAAGTTTCCATCGCATCAATAACAGTTGGTGAATCAGAGATCCCATTGTCCTCCACTGTCAGAGACCTTGGCTTTTATATTGACAGTAAACTTAGAATGATTCCCCCAACAGTTCTGTGGTCAGGGCATGTTTCTGTCATCTGCGCTCTGGATCAGCTGCGTCCTCAACTCAATAAGAGAACAGCCAATGCTATAGCGGTAACTCTAATCCAATCAAGATTAGATTACTGTAACAGTTGTTTGTGGGTTTTACCTCAGAACCAAATTCAGAGACTCCAGAAGGTACAAATTACTACAGCACGCATTGCCTCGCGGATAAAAAAATCTGACCACATCCCCCCCCCCCCCCACACATTAACTTCAAAATTCTGTCCCAGGCTGTATAGAAGGATCTGCCCCTGGTGTACAGCTGCATAGAAGGATCTGTCCCTGGCGTACAGCTGTATTGAAGGCTCTGTCCCTGGCGTACAGCTGCATAGAAGGCTCTGTCCCTGGCGTACAGCTGTATTGAAGGCTCTGTCCCTGGCGTACAGCTGCATAGAAGGCTCTGTCCCTGGCGTACAGCTGCATAGAAGGCTCTGTCCCTGGCGTACAGCTGCATAGAAGGCTCTGCACTGGAATATCTTAAAGAACTGATTTATAAACACGTATCCTTGAAGATAACTTGAACAC